TTGATTTTATGAATACATATGTTTAAAGTACCATCTTATCCTTTGAATTTTTTCTCTCATCCCTAATATTTTTGTACTTGTGGGTTAAGGGAGAGGTTAAAATTGGAAAAGAACTAATGAATGAATAATTGGTTTCTTAAAATGTCAATTACTTTTTTTTAATGGAAAAAATGTCAATTATTTTGAAATAAATATTTCTTCTACAAGACCTATTAGTATCAGAGTTTTTTTAATTTATATTTTAAGAGTATTATAAATATATATTTTTTATTATAAATTTATATTAAAAATAAAAATTAATTTTTAATTTATTAATTATTTAATTAAATTTATCAACTTATCATTAACAGTAAAATTAATTTAATTTTTATATTATATATATTAATAATAATAACATAACCTTAACATTAAACTTCATATTTAAAAAACTTTTAATATGAAACAGCGGATAATATTTTAAGAGAAGAAAAATAAAGTGGAGAAAACCAAGTCAGAAAAATACAAATTCAAGCCTGGAAAAAGCTAAGAGGGAAATAAAAGCTGTCGGTAAGACCGTTGACGGCCGGACAAAACACGCAAATCCTTAATTACTCCGATAAATGGCTTTGATCACATGCACTGTTCTCAGCAGCTCTTCCCATCTCGTGTTTACTCCATCGATTAAATTTGATCATGCGGCCGCCTTCTCGCCATATTGTGTCGAAATTAAAGTGGATCTTTTACTTTTATTAACGGTTTCTATCCTGCATGTTTTCCTAACCCAAGCAATTGTGCTGTATGTTAAGAATGCTTTTTCATCGTAAATGGATGTTCAAAAAAATATTAAAGTTAAGTTTTACTATTGTTAAGATTAAAAATTTAATTAAATAATTGATAAATTAAAAATAAATTTTTATTTTTAAATATAAATTAATAATAAAAAGGTATCATAAATGTATTCTTTTTTTTTTTTTTGAACAAGTTGTCAAGGAACGGGCTGAAAACCCGCTCATGGAGAAGGGGGAATGCATTTCAAACTGACAGACTGCCAATTTCGGGCCAGGTGCATCATAAATGTATTCTTAACCTACACTTTTACAGTACTAATTAAAAAAACTTATATATTATACTTCTT